GGGGGGGTGGGTGGGGGGGAGGGCGGCTTAGGAGTGAGGGGCACCAGCATATCAGGGCTGCTCAGCACCACAAAGCAGCATTGGGAGGGCATGGGGGGGGAGGAGGAGGACGACAGCCGCAGCTGCAGCCATACAGCAAAGGGAGCAGTGGTAGTGCTTTATTTTCCATGATTAAAAAACCAAAATCAAATGTCAAAATAAATAGGTATTTAGAATTTATTTCATTATTATGACTGAGGCACCAGTACGCTTCCAAATTGTTTTAAAAGTGTAAATATATCTGTGACAAACTGGTACCATGGACTTCCTAGTAGCACACTTCTTGAACTCTCTACGTTTCCTGAAGGACTTACTATATGTCGCAGTCAGCCAAGACTCTGGAACAATCTTTTTTTCTACATTTTTCTACATTCTGACTACCAAAAAAAAGGCGTGTGTTTTACTCAGGGGTGTATGTGAAAAAATACAGTAATATGAATGTCATTTGGGCTTCTTTTAGAATAAGCTTCTAATTGAGGAGAGAATCCCAAAGGGCAGCCACTCTTCAACTTTCAAAACTGTCATAACCTGATCACATTAACCTTCCTGCTTCTCACTGAGAAAAAGTGCAATTTTCTTTTTTTAATTCCCATCTAACAAGAGAATGGCAGACAGCCATGCTACAAGGCCAGAAAACAGCCCCCCCAAGAGCTTCTGCCCTGAGCCAACATATATATTCATGGTCAAGATGATTACAAAAGAAACCCTGGAAATCCATAACACCTGGATGTCTGCATTATCTCTGACTCTTTTCCCTTGCTATTTAGGCTCATTTGAGTGACAGAGTAGCACATTCACCTGCTCGTGTTGATGAACACTGATGTTTTCTTCATTTTGCCAAAGAAATCCTTGTTGCACAATCCTGCTGTATCAGGAGTTAGGGAACAGGTCACAACAACAAAGTCCGACTCCTCTGCTAGCCTAGTGAGCGGAACTGAATGGAAAACACAGGCATCATGAGTTCACTTGGAGGTTTCACTACTCTGAGATCTATCCCACTTACATCAATCATCAGTGAGTTACTATTGCCTAAGAAGATCTCATTAATCTGACCCCAGTAACCAGAAGAAATCAGGTTGACAGCTGAGTGCAAAAACAACATCTGGACAAGGTACTATGTTTGCATGGGCACCACTTCTTTGCTTTTAAACAATTTAATTGATAAAGTTTCCTCAATTAAGAAAAGAAATTTACCAATTCTTGCCAGTTTACCAATTCTTGCCATCCCAGAAATGGCTACAGTATATATTTCAGGTGTAGCATATGTAGCAAAACATCACCTTTATATTTTAAATGAACAGTTAAAAGTTTTGTAAGCACTGAAGATGGATTTAATAGATTTTACAACTTTCACCAAAGGATGGGACAAGAGGAATATGCAGATTACACTGGATTTGCAAAGAAAAGAACTAACCCCAACAGTAACTGATATTTTTGTAATTGTTTATTTTTCACAGAGGTATATCAGAGCCAGGCAACACTGCAGGATGATGAAAGGAAAAGTCTGTCCAAAAAGTCTGTGCATTATACTGAGTGCATGCATTACTGCTGATCAGAAAACAAAGACCCGATATCAAAATTAAGTGATCTGGGGTAAAATCTTGGCCCTGTTTGAAATCAACAAGGCCAAGATTATACTCTTGTCATTGTCACCACTTTTGGCCAATGAGATATGGACTGTGCTTTGCTCAATGCCTCTAGTTTCTCATCCTTACAGCCTGGACAATGTCATCCCTGCATCACCTCATTTATTTTGGTTGCTATTCTGCAGGCATGAAGGTCTGGAAAGAGATTATTTGCTCTTCCAACTCGATTGGCGTTTCTTACCAAATTCAGCTTCAAACTCTGCAGCACCCTCTGGTTTCAGATGGCGTCCAGCATATAGAAATCTCTTGACCCCAAACGGCTTTAGACGGCGTGCCACTGCCTGTCCTAGAAACAGGAGGTCATCTTTCTATAAGCTTGGGATAGCCCCAGCAGAACCCACCTTCCCTTGCACATGGAGAGTCAAACACCTCAGCAGCATTTCAAAGCAACCCATCTCTTTAGCTCTCTATCAGATCTCTATTGCTCCAGCATCTTTGGACAAGACCACAGGATGCATTCCACTGTTTGCTCAAGTACAATGAAACTAATCACTCCTTGAGAGATTACTCTAAGTGCCCCAGCTGGAGGCTGCTGTACCTTTCCTGCCAAGGTTTCACATTTGTTAAGGAGATAAAGCGCTCTCGTTAGTTCCAGGGGAAAGTGAATGTGTTTGTAGCAAAGGGAATCATGGGCCATTAAATCTGACGTTACATTAGAGAGCAAATTTTAGGGAAGAGAAAGATTCCATGACCAACTCCACAAGCTAATGAACAAACCAGTCCTCCTCTCTACCATGGACTTTGGGATATTTGCTTAACTGAAACACAGTTCTGTGGTCTTGTCCAATGGGAAGAGTCCAGTCTGTCTGGTTTCTGATAAAATGAAATACACAGAGCTCCTGGAGTTTAAGATCTAAACTTGAGTGCAGTCACGCCACTGTTGGTAAGATGGAGAGAGACTTTTTAAAATCTTCTCTTACTCACCCTCTGAATGTTAGGGCATAGGCAAGTGGGAGCAATCCATCAATTTTGGGGTTAAATGTCTTTCACTAGCAGTTCCTGTCCAACACACCCCTATTTTTTATTTATTTTGTTGTTTCTATAAATGCCCTAGTATTGCTACCACAAAGTTAAATACAAAAGTATTAGAATAACAAGACATGAACTCCTAACTAATGGGTTAAAGCATAGATATCCTCAGAGCAAAACTCAGAGCAACCATATGGGTTCAAGATTAAAACTAAAAACTGTCAGACTAATAAGAAAGAGAACTCTACAAGCAAGGATTCTTCCTTCAGAGCAAGAAGCAGCAGACAAAAAACCCCTCAATGACAGAAGAAAGTTTTAACAGGGATAAAGAACTGAGTAGACTATTAAGACTACAGACAGATTTATTGCAGACTTATTGTTACTGATCACCAAATTAGGTATTTTAATCAAACACCAAACTGAACCCTCCTCCATCACTGAGAGAGAGATACTAAGACACAGTTACCTATTCTTCCCAGCCCTATGATCCCGACAGTGCTATCAGATAGCCCATATCCACACATCCAGAAGGGCTTCCATGTTGTCCAGCCACCACTATGACAGGAAATAACATAAGAGCAGATGTGAGACAAGAGCAGAAGATTCCACTTTATATGCTGGCTTGGGGTCTAGATATGAACGACATGACAAACTGTGAATGGCATAAATGCAGTAGGGGTGGTAACCTGAGTGTCATAAGCATGCAAATGGAGATGTTTTAGGGGCCTAGAAACACGAAAATGAATAAATTTAAGTGACACTAATGAGCAGAGACACAAATGCCTGCATGGTTCCTGCTTAAAGCTACCCTTGCACTCCCTTTCAGGGGCCTTGGTGTAAATCAGATACACTTCAGGCCTGATCTAACTTGTGCACTGTTACTGAAGGCTTCTGGGAGCAGCTGCACTGCAGTGACCTCTGGCCATAGGCTCAATGCACTTCCTACAGCAGGGACTAGGAACAGGGCTGCTTGTTTTCTTCTGACCAGGGAGACAACCTACATAATACAAGGGGACTCTTAGGGAGGCAAGTCCAACCACCTTTAAGGATTCTTTGCACTGCTAGATACTTTCTATCT